TATTTTTGTACTGAATATTTAAGCAATGAAATTACGATTGAAATGTTTTCAGTTGAAATGTTCAATGTTTAAATGTATGCACATATTAAATTACAGTACCCAAAAATTCAAAGCGTCATTAATGCAATGAGTTTTTATTCGATAAGTGTAATTCAACGTGTTTTTTTTCATCAACGACTTTTGTCATTAATTTACTTCCATAGTAGCCCCACCCCCCGCTAAAATAAGGGCAGCTGAACTCGCCACCTCCAAAGTTCATCTGCATGTTTCATCTGCCGTAACAAATGACCTCATTTTCGGAGCCCCGCTCGGTGTCCTCTCCTCACTGATCTTTTTTCAGCCAAGTGGACAACTTCCAGAACATTCCTCTGTGTTTTATGGGCTTAAAGTTCAGTGCTCAGATGTATCTTCCACGTGTTGCCACCCACCTAACCCCGGAAGATGGGACCTGTCTGATCAGCGTGAGGAAGAATTCTCACCGTTTGCTCTAGCCGGGATTGTCTGTGGCTTTCTGGAGTGCGAGTAATCGCCACTAGGATCCGACATTTGTATCATTAAAGGAACATGCTGACAGACAGGCTGGCAGTGATTAGCTGTTGACAGTTGAGTATGAATGACCTGGAATGGAGTGGGAACAGAGGCAGAGGCAGACTGAGCTGTGGACAAGTTAGATTTGATTTGATCATCTATCAAAGTCTGGCTCCTTCAAGACTTCAACGACAAAGACCCCCAATGAGCTTGCAGTGGACTAAGGTTGTTAGACACAAGGGACAGCTGTGACCACAAACAGAGCACTTTAAGAAAAGTGCATCAGCCTGGCCAAAAAAAACCCAAATAAATCAGATTATGCAAAGCCACAAAAAAATGGTTTTTACCAGTTAAAAATATGAGGGTTGTAGTTTACGTGCATGAGGTTCAAATGGGCAGATATTTCTGGACCAGTCTGCTACATGGATGGAAAAAGCTGTCCTTCTGTGGATGGGACATACAGAGGGAGTGGATGTAGGAGGGAGTGGATGGACTCTGACCTCAAGGTCTGCCTCCCAAGAAGACCAGACAGGAAGTCCAAATCGGGCAAAACTGAGTCCATCTGAGTCATCGTACTGCTCAGTCCCATAATAAAGCCCCACCGAACGAGCCTTTTGAGGAAGGAAGCTGATTTGAGGCATAGTTCATGGGTTTCTTACCCTACTAGATGTTGCCCCAAGTGGCCTAAGCCTTCTCCAGGGAACTCCCAGCTTTCTTAGCACATTTGCGTGGAGGGAAATGTCTTTTCTCTACATGTCTGGCCATAGCTGCCGCTTGCTTCTCTGGCTCCTGTTAGGGAACTCAGCTCACGCGCCCGCATCACATGGCACTCGAGAAGCTACAGGAAACCTGGCATTTCATATGCGGTGCTCCCGGATGGCAGTCATCCTCCCCGGCCCTCTGCTGTACCAGCTAGTGGAGATGTCTGGTTGTTAAATTACAGAGGCAGTTCAAAAACCCACACGCCTCCACCTCAGGTGGACCTCAGGACATGTTCTGATCTTAAGAAACTCAAGTGTTCCAAGAATTTAAAGAAGGAGCTGATCTCAGCTAATCACCACATTGGTTGGAACCTAGGGCTCAAGACCTTGGCGCTGACTTACAGGTTCTTCAATAGTATGCATCACCATCAAAAGGTTCCTCAAGACCTCACCCCCTTTGGTCAGCCAACCACCAGGAGGTTCTCTTGTGTGGTTCCCCGATGAACTGCTGAACCACATCCAGTCATGAGATTCCTTCTCCGCCTTCTAGAAATACCTCAAGACCCAACTCTTCCATGAATTCCTCTGGTAACCTGATGCCTCTTTATGTTCCATGAATATTCTTATGTTGCACTTCTGGCCCTTGAGTAGTAGAAGTAGTAGAAGTTGTTGTTGTGTTGTTGTTGTGTTGTTGTTCTGTAGTTGTGTAGCTGATGCTACAAATCTACTTACACTGGAACTAGTACTGGGTATTCATTGGAAGCTCAGTCTAGCTACACTTGTGTCTGATTGACTTGACAGCATGCATGGTTTTTGGATAAAAGCATCAGGTAAATATGACAATATAAATGCACATTTGGCTATGATCATAGCACTTTATGGGCCCTCACGTACCATGTCCTATGACGTGGGAACTCGCCGACGTTCAGGAGCTCCTTCACGGACATGAGGTCGGCCGAGATGATAGGATAGAACTCCGAATAGGAGGCCTCTTCATCACTGGGGGCACATGGACGACAAGAACGTGGGATGATTTGTCTGTTAGCAACACATTACATGCATCTGCAAATTACCTGGCATAACCTTGACAAATAAACTTCTGCATTCTGTGGATCGATTCTTTGTTACAGTGAAGCCAATCTGTATTGGTTCAGGCCGACTGAAGCAATGTCATGCATGGCAACGATTCCACTGTATGAGGAAATAATTTGTTCCCCTGCAACATGTTTGTATTAACTTTTTCAATCAAATGTCCTCCTTATTAAGCTGAGAATTCCCATTTCTGTGAAAGATTAAAAGCAAATTCACAGCAATGCAGCGGTAAGAAAGGTCACAGGAAGGTCATGTGTGTAAATGTGTCAGGAATTTCCCAGGCTCACCTTGTGGTCACCAGGCAGCGGGCTCTGTGCAGCTCATACACTATCTGTACATAAAACATTTAAAGACTAAGCACCTCGTCAGAAATCCTCCTTGATGAAGATCTCAGATTCAATAACCATAACTAAGTCCTCCTTTTACCACCTTAGGAATATCTCTAAAATAAGAGGCCTGAAGTTTAAGCATGACCTTGGAGAACATGCTCATACCTTCTTGAGCAAAGGAGACTAAGGGGGGATATGATTCAGGTCTATAAGATTCTAACGGGTCTGGATGCTGTTCAGCCAAATTACTATTTCAATATTAGTCTAAATACTAGAACTCGTGGCCATAAGTGGAAATTAGCGGGAGAACATTTTAAAACAAATTTGAGGAAGCACTTCTTTACACAGCGTGTAGTCAGAATATGGAATAGTCTTCCTGCTATTGTAGTGGAAGCTAAAACCATGGGTTCCTTTAAATCAGAGCTAGATAAGATTTTAACAACTCTGAGCTATTAGTTAAGTTCTCCCCAAACGAGCTTGATGGGCCGAATGGCCTCCTCTCGTTTGTAAATTTCTTATGTTCTTATGTTCTTATGTTCATCCGCACTCGCTTGGATTATTGCAACTCCGTCTTATATGGACAAATCAAAAAGACAGTTCCAGCTCATCCAACATGCTGTCGCTAGATTATTTACTAGGATCAAGAAAAGCAAACACATTACTTCACTCCTTGCACTGGCTTCCAGTTGCCATTTGAATCCACTTCCAGGTAGTGCTGCTTCTTTACAAATCACTCAATGATCTCAGCCCAGTTTGCATCACAGACCTTCTGGCTGAATATGAATCTAACAGGCTGCTAAGACCATTAGATGCTGGTCAACTAATAGTGCCAAGAATGGAAAGTAAGCAAAACCAAATGGCATTGAGCTACTGTGCCACTCATAACTGGAACCAGCTCCCTGATGAGGTTAGAAATACATCAAATGTTGCCAACTTTAAAACCAGGCTTACAACATTTTTATTCCAGTGTCTTTGTAAGGATCAGCCCCTGTCCTGCCCTGGTCCATGTGTCATTTCAGCATTTGTCCAGTGGGTGTCAGTGGTCATCCCGTCTCCTGTTATTTCCCAGTTTTGTTAATTCCTAGTGTGTGCTCCTATTCCCTGGGCTGCCGTGTGGCTCGGGGCTGAGTGTGTGGCTATGGCTGAGGCATTCCTACCATATCGGATTTATGGCCAGCCTCCACTACTTATAATTTGACATTTGTTATATATCCCTGGTTAAGTTATGTTGGCGTTTTGTTAGTTACTTGTGTTTGCTCATTATCATCTACTGCTTGTAATTATGTTCTGTATTCATATTTCTAGTCTTTCCAAGAGTTTGTGTCTGTAGTGATTCTTGATTATGCTGACCTGTTTCTTGTTAGTCGTACCCCTTAGTGTTCAGTAGTAGCCCACACCTGTCCCTTGTTGAACCCCTTGCCCGGTTTCCTCAGTTGGTCACTGTGTGTCTGTCGCTGTTGTTGCCCATGTGTTTGCAGCTGTTTACTGTGGTAAACAGTGTTGCTCCCTACCTTAGTTTTTTCATTTACCTACGTTGTTTTTCATCCCTCGTGGTCCATTTATTTGTTTTTGTTATTTTTGAGTTTCAATGAAGTCTCATCTCTCCTTCAACATTGCCCATCCACAACAATCTTTGATTAGTGCTGTTAATCAACCTTTTATTTGTCATTTTTAAATTGTTGTCCTTTTATGGTCTTTTACTTGTTTTTTTAATTTTCCTTTTAGTGATTTCTTTTATTGCATCTTCTTCTTTCTATGCGAGGATGTGCTATATAAATAAACTCGCCTTGCCTTGTGTTACATGTACTGTACTTGCTGACCGTTCAGGTACACCTGCTCATTAACGGGCGACTGCAACTGAATACAGACAGCATGCATACAGGACTGGAGGGTGGCTAATTGTGTGGCTAAGCGTTAGCATGGCTAAGATGCGAGAGCTTAGTGATTTTATACACGGCGTGATTCTTGTAACTTCTCAGAAACAGCTAGCCTCATGGGATTCTCATGCGCAGCAGTGTCTGGAGTCAGGGCTTCTGTTGTTATGAGATGCATGTGGACGTCATCACACCCATGGGAAAAAATAACAAAAACCATCCCTTTTGAAAATGTGCCACTTTCCCTAATTATTCTGCGTAATTGTCACTCTCATAAAGGTACTGTACACCTACCAACTATACCAGGGTTAATCAACTGGTGGGGTCTGGACCAAATCACAATGTAATCCAGATCACGTGATAATTCCTCCCCCCCCCCCCAAAAAAAAATCATTGTTGGGGACTCCTTGCCCCTTGAAATATAAACTCAAACCCTGAGTGTGATAAAGAAATAAAATACAAAAACCTTGTTACTGAGAGAGGTCAGAGGAGAATGACCAGACTCATTAAAGGTAACACAAAGGCCTCAAGTGCAAAAATAACAGCTCAGTATAGCACTGGAGAGCAGAAAGGCATCTGTGGCAACACCATCTCTGAAGGTGCACCTACTAAATCGGTCACGGAGTGCATGACCTAATCATTTTACAAATATCTGTAGGAAACCTGTTCTACACATGATTTGTAGCGGCTTGCTGGAAATATCAGGGACGCTGTACATGAATATGTCAATATCTTACATTTCTATGTCTATTAAATATCAACGTAGCTTCCCGCTTATCTCGGGTGGAAGGACGGCGGCATACCCGGAGAAGATGGAAGGGAGAGAGAGTGCGGCTTGCCGTCGCCGGCGGCGATTTCAATCTACGGCATCGCCGCAGGGAGAGAGCGGCTTGTGCTGGGGAGCAATGCAGGCGGCTGTTCCTCCTGGGCGGCCGCAGGGAGGCACTGATATGGGAACGAGCCCTATAATTACCGCTTCCCCATGAATGCGCGTTTGCGGACGTGAACAAAAGCTGGCTAATCAGACCAGGGGAATGACAAATAGAGTGTTTACTTCCAAGAGGGTGGCGCTCTGTTGTGAATACGGCATCGTCCAATGAATGGGGAGTTGTCAGAAATCTCGGCTGCCTGGCAGACGGGCCTGTGTAGGACAGCCCCTGTGGTCCCTGTGTCCCGTGTTTCACTTTCCAGAGTCTTCAAACGGCTGACAAATAAGCTACAAAATTGCTCAATTTCAATGTGAGCTGTTTGCAAATAGCGATGATGACAAGGTTCATGTCACACCTCAGAAGTCACAGATATATTTATTATGGTCTAACCCCGAACATATTCTAATAGGAGGGGCCATGGACGCTGTGGGGCTGTGACGATTATTAACTGGGTATCACTATTGTCTGTATCACTAGAAGCAGGGTTAGGGTTAGAGGAACTGAAAGTTAAGGGCCTTGTTCAAAGACCCAATGGTGACATCATTCAGATGACACTAGGATTTGAGCAAGGAAGGGGGGGGGGGGCATGAAATCATGTCTGTCTTTCTGTTTGCATTTCGGAAAACTGATATGTAAACTTCCGCCTCTTCAATATTTTTTTTCTAAATTCTCGAATCCCACTCACCTCACGATGCACTTTTTCTTTGCCTCCTGCATGTTGCCATTTACCTAATGCTGCCCGTGACATAACATCAGCCATTCAGTCTAAAAATACAGTTGAGTGGCAGATATCAAATCGCAACACTCAGGGAGTAATCAATATTGTTTTCCTCACATCAGAATCACATTCCATCTAATTCAAGCTTTTATTAGCGCTTCTGTTTTTAATTTATTACAGGTTTTTATCATTTTACATATTAATAATAATTGTTATTATTCTCTAAATTATTTGTAAGTCATGTTTTGTGATTGTTCATCACTGCATTCTTCATGATACTCCATAAGTTGCCCAGGCTTGTGTGCCTCACCCCACCCAGTTCCACTATCCATGGTTCGAGGAGCAGAGCTCCTATGTGAGAAGATGACAGAGGTCAGGTCTGTGCCATCGCTGGCCTGCTGCCCCTCTATCCATCACGCTTGAATGCCATGCCAGGTAGTCAGAAAAGCTCTGTTATGAAGGATCTCCTTTGTGTAACGCCTCATCAATATTAATGGCTACTGGGCTCTTTCACTGCCTGGCCGCTTGATGTTGTTCTTCCACGCTCCGCCCCCTCACTGCCGTTGCCTCTCTCTGCTCTCCCCCGAATCCAGGGACCCTTGAGTGTCACCCCATCACCCCCTTGTACTGAAAACTAGAGGCCATAACTTAATCTTCAACAGCACTTAATCTTCCCCGGTCGTTCTATTGAGGACCAAGGCGTTCCAAAGCTAGGAGGATACAGGCCACGCTTCCCCGCCTGTTGGGTTTAACGTGATCACCCATAACTGCTTCTCCTCCTGAAGCCCCCACCCAGCCACCCAGGAGCACTGCCCAGGGAGCCCAACTGTAAATATTGGTTAGGCGCCTAATGTCGGCCCATTTTCACCGAGTGACGTGATAATCCATCTCTGGCTGCCTCAGTTCCTGCTTTCTGCTCGTGTGGAGAGACATGGCCTCTTTCATGATGAGCTTACAGTTTCGGGGCAAGATCATACCCACATAACCTTGATGCAGAAGACTGGCCTCGGATTCCTCAGCTTCAGCAGACATCTGGCTCGGCTCCGGCTCCACGCAAAACTCTATGTCACAAAAGCCTTAACGCCTGACAAGTTACACGGGGAGTTTATCATGGATTCGGGGTCCATGTCGCGGGCAGTAAATCTCCAACTGCACTGTACTGTATAGCAACAAGATCTACAAATTGAAAAGTACCAGTGACGTTTGTTGATTTAGTTGCTATGAAGACGGGGTTAGTGTGTGGTTAGCATGATGGAACTGGCGCTGCTGTCGAGTACTATTCAGTAACACCAATTCATGCACCCTCACCCTGGCTTGAATTTATACACATTTACAATGCATCACATTTACAATGCATCACATTTACAATGCATCACACCTGTTCTGCACTGGATCTAATTTTGCTTAAAATTCAGGGTGTTTTCAGGAAAATGGCAGCTGGCAGACAGGGAAATGAGATCAAGATCAGTGGGATGAAGATTTTGGTTCTGGTAGGTGAGCAGCTCTTATTACAGGAACAAGCTGATGGTGCAGGATGGATTCAGCTCTCATCTGGATGTACGGGGCTTACACTCTGGCATTAAACTGCACGCCAAGCAAGAGTGAAAAACAACGAAAAGCCGCAGAGAGAGAGAGAGAAAAAGTGGGGATACGCTTCACCTTTCAAAAAACAGGAAGTTCCAAAACAGGAAGCAGGGTAACGGAAAGCGAGGCTCCGCCGAATTGTGAAATCCACTTTGCCTTTCAAATAAGCATCAAAGGAACTGATTTCGTTTGCGCCGGATTTTCCAGCACAGCCCGCATGTAGGCCACAATAACAGGCGCAGTGAAAACTAGGGACTTCATGTGGTTTACGGGGACTCCCCTGTGTGGGCGGAGCCTGAGGGAGGAGGGGGCCTCAGCAATATGTGCGTGGCCCACATTGGGCCTCAGTTTAAAGTCACAAGACCGTGGCCCCAGGTGTCTGCAAGCCCAGAATATCTGCTAAACGCCGCCATGCCCTTGTTTAAAATGCTCCAATATGAAAAAAAAAAAACTCTGGAAACAGCAATTGTGGCAAGGACACCGACCATAATTTATCGCCGGTCCATTAAAACGTTAAACACTGTCTGCAGGTCCATTTATTAGCACAAAAGTGTGATGATCTTTATCTGACCGGTCAAACACAGAGCAGCAGGGCCCGCATCACACTACGAAACAATCAAGCGTCAAACGGCAGGATCGATCTCAGACAAAAGAAAACATATATACTGTGATGATCTAAGGTGGGAAAGTGCTACAGGCTGAAAGGAACCACAGACTCGCTTTGGGGGAGCCATGATGATGGGGTAGCAGAGAATTAAATTAAGGGTAGGATTAAAATTGAGCAGAGCCCTGTCCTTGCAGTCCTGAGCAGTCCCTCTGTTGCCCAGCAGTATCTAGAGTGTTGTAGGGCTTCTGGAGAACATCAGTCGGTGATGCTCTGTATGCTGCAGAAACAATCAGGTGGCAATGGCTCTACCTGGAGGTAAATGTCTTCTTCTTAATCTGCGAGGACAAATCCACGCTATGCGACATCTGGCGCTCCTCCTCCTCCCGGCATCGGAACGTCACCGTTTTGGTTGCCATGGTGAAGCCTGGACTCTTAGACCTCTTGGTCCGCACCTGGAGGATGGAACATCCTGAGTTATTCCGCAGCAATAAGTCACGATGAGCAGCGGAAGGCCGCGTTTACTGGGGCGTGCAGGACCCCGTGTAGCAGCAGCTGTGTTCTGACCACGCTGTCCCTGGTCCAAGGCCACCCTCAGATTTACAGCTTGCCAAGCAGAAGCAGCATCCCCACCTGCTACACATGCAGCTGGCCTGGGATGGCATAATGTCAGCCTGGATCAGTTAGGAACTGGCGCTTGGTCGATTCCAGTCACACTCCGAGTACGACGCCACAGAGGGTCCCCATATGCAAACACACCACATGGTTCATATAAGGCTTTCAAGCATTTCTTATTTCAGTTATAAATGACAACACATGTTTTCATATGTCCACTACAAGTCAGTGTTTTTTTTTGTGCGATTATGGCCACATTCATACTAAAAAACACACTTCACAGGTAAGACACTCAAGAGAAAAGCCTTTAGGAAAAATATTACACTTTTACATCAATTTTGCATTTTATGTCATGTGATAGCATATGGCTTTAGTAGGAAATACAAGCTTATTGCTTGTTGTTTCAATATGCATAAAAATATATATTGCTTTTATTGATTATTATGAAAGACATGTATGATCTCTCCACATTCAGTCAGTTTAATTAGACATGAGAAAATTCATGTTATTTTCTCAGAACACAAAATGCATCAACTGACGCGTTCCGTTCCTTTTCAGAATACTCATTCTAGTTGTGTGGAACCACTGCCCATGATTCGATGGAATTCACTGAAAGAATTATGCATAAATACTAATACTGAGAAATCATTCATTTGAAATGCATTGTACATGAATGCAGGGCTTATATGTTTGAGGGTACAATAATGTTTTTTACATCAAGGATCTTCTTATATGTCTAATGACACATCAAGTTCATTTGTATTGAATATTTA